TAAAACTACAAAATGCTCACACTCTATCAAATGGGCACCACTATAAAAGACATCTTCAAATCAAATGAGGCAAAGCCAAAGAGATACACCAGCTGTTATCCTGCATAATTTAAAACATAATAGTAACATCACTATGGTTTATTTTTCAGGAGAAATTATTTGGATTTCATGAAATTGACATAGTTAAAACCAAGCTGACAATCGGTCTAGTAAATTAAATGATAAATTACTAAGAAACACAATTTTTACTTCAATATTACTGTGACAACCACATAATCCTATCCCCTGGTGTTTTGATGAATCAAGCCAAAATAAGCCAAAGTCTATAAAGAAAAATATGGAGTATATAGTTATAGTACTATCACTAAAACAATTTTTAAATTATTTTAATTTAATTTAAAAATTATTTTAATTTAAAATAATTAATTTTAAATAATTTTGGCTTCTAAATATATACAATTGGATACAGTATTATAAATGGAACTGAACCATTTATAGAAACATACATAACACATTTAAAATAGAAAATCAATTCATTTCCTTCTAGCACCAATTACTTATGATGGTTTTGAAATATAAACATTTAGCAACATGTAATATATTTTTAATATTTGTTTTCATTAATGTCTTTTGACCTAAGCTAAATGGTAATGATGAAAAATAGACCATTTGCTTAAAAGCAAAACTTTTATTAAACCTAAAATAGCATGGCACAAAATCAAACCACAAAAAGGACCATATTATGTTATCCCCCTTGATTTTCTGAAGAAAAATAATGAAAGTTCCCACATAGTGCCGATGAAAATGAGACACTCAAACTTACTCAGGCAAAAAGAAGACAGATTATGTAAAATTAAATCCCTTTCTAGTACCTTGACTATAATCCTAACAAGTCACTACATTATTTCAAATCACAGAATAATTTTTCTAAGGTGAAAATAAGTGTAATTTATTTTGTCATTGTTGCTAAAATTTCTTGTCAAATCAGACTTTGAGTTGAAAGGCCTGAGTAATCCTAGCCTATCTTAAACTGCGACTTTATTTTAGACTTCCGTATTTTATTCCAGTAGAATTTTAAGTATACACTGTGTACATTCCTTGAGTCCAGTCATATTAAATTCTGATGTTAAGCAGAAAGAGGAAACCATGTGCAACTAGATTAATTTATCTCAAGAGAAAAGAGCACATTAATAATTGAGATAATGTTTTCATAAATGTTGGAATCGAATGTGTCTTTTCACTTCTTTATTAGAAAACACATTAGGATAAAATTATCTCGCTCTCATCAACAAGACCTAATTGCTGAGAAAGACTATGTTTTCTTTGCAAAACATTCAGAAAAATTTTTCCCATTATGTCTAAAGAGCTGGAAATATATCATGCATCCAAGTCTTGCTGGAATGAATGTATTTAAGCAAGGCTAGTGATTATTTAATCCACCCTGTAATGTTTTTGTTTTAAACTATCTGAATTTATTATTTTTTGTAAAACATATTAAAATCCTGATTATAAAATAAGTGGGCCAAAACAAAGTCTAATAATTTGGCTTTTAGCTTGTGGATCACCTAAACTACAAAAAAAGATTACCTTCACTTATTGCTAAAAATAAAAAAGAAAGAAAAACTTGTAAAACTTCCCATAAACACCCAAAAGAGTCAAAACATATCGAATAATATTTAACTTTCTTTAAATTGCTGTGTTTTTAAGAACCAGGATTATATGCAAAGAAAATATTAACTAAAAGATGATAGTACACTTACAAACCAATCAAACAAGCTCTCCATAGCTGATGGATGTTAAATATTAAAAAGTCATTTTTCTACAAAAAAAAAATAGAGCTTTTAATTGTTAAACAAAAGGAGTAACTACGGTGAATCTGATTTTTTTTTTGTAATAAGCATTCATGTGTATAATAAAGTACAACCATACTAAAAACAATGAACTGTAAACTGAAACAAAAATCCATCATCTACTTGGAAACTGTGACAGGAAAAGATTAGCAATCCATTTATTGTACTGAAATAAAGATAAGTAACCCTGGTAAGATCCATCAGGACCCGAGTATTGAACTCTAAATATAAAGACGTTTCTTCATCAGCAAGTGACTTGAAAAAAATGATAAGAAGAGAAACGATTACAGTTGACTTTTAAAATGAAATAGTCATGTTCAACTGCTTTTAATTTTTTAAAGATCTGCTTTATGTCAATCTGATAATCTGGAAGATATCTAAAAGAGTATGTTTTAAAAATGGATAATTTCTACATGAGTCATTAAATAATTATTGCCAAAAGTTTCCTATAGACCTACAATGTATTCCAATTACTGATTCCTTCTAATATAAATATGATTAAAATTTTTTCACAATAGAATTTAGGTTTAAAAGGAAACACTAAAATTTAAGAAACAATCCAACATTTAGAATCTTCTATTTTAAATACAACTTAATTCAAATAGTCACATTTCATAAAACTAAATCATAATGCTTGAAAATAAACTCATATTTCATATCTTAAAAATAATTATAGTAATAAAAATCTGAAACTGATTAAAGTAAGTGTTTTATCTTACAAATAGACATCAGTACTAAGTTACCTGGCCCCACTCAGTCATATTTTATATTATCTCCCAGGAGACTGATACATTTTTGCACAGTTGCATTTTAATATCCCTTCGATCTCCTAAACGTGTATTATTCTAACTGTTCTTACAGATGATAAAAACAAATAGATTGTCCTGAATTAGGAAAAGGAACCTGTACATCATTCAACCATACATCCAGCAACTCATTTTTAGAACACAGAACCAACTCTATGCACCACCACCTCCAACATACACCCAAACAGGTAAAACTCACTTTATGTCTACTGAAGTATCAACGACAACAAAAAGTAATGACGACAGAATTTTAACTTCATCAAGTATAAGTAAATGTGTAAAATAAAGGCTCCGGTTTTCAGTATTAATGTATATCATTTACATTCTATATGTGTAGTGGTATCCTGCCAACACCCCAATTGTCCAAAGCCATTTAGAAAAATAAATAAATAAACAAATGATTTTTTTTATATTTATGGCTTTGTCCCCTGGCACTCTAACCCCGAGGCATCAGTGGGCAATAGTGTTAGGTTTTAACAGTTTCAAATGGAGCAAATCTGTACTACTGAACAATTGCTTTCTGATTTCCTCAGAAAAGTATTGGCAGACCTTTAAATATATGATATTAAGAGCTCCTAATGATACCACTAGAACAAGAAAAGTGCCTGGAAGTGTTTTACAAACTTTAAACCGCATTGGAGATTATAAATAATTAGTTAGAAATAAAAAACAACTAGGAAATATTTCAAAACCAGACTCTTGATTATTTCTCACTTGTCATATTTTTCTACCCAAAAACTTTAACTTCGAACCTGACTGTGTACCAAGCTATTTTCCCCTGTCTTGTTTTCCTGTAAAATTTTCTGTTGTTTTTTTTTTTTAAAGCACTATTTGGTAAAATAAATATGCCCAACTTTTTTCCTCATTCAAGAATCCTTTCCTTCAAGACTGAAAATGTATAATTGTTTTCCAACAATAGTTTAGGAGTGAAATGGAAGTTGGGAGCCTGGATGCAGGGTACTGGCAGATAACTGTAAGGTATGTAGCCCATATCCACCCTGTGGGCATCTTGGGCTGCTAGGCTATGAGCTCTTACACTTAGCTCCTCCTCCATCAAAGGAGGCTGTGCAGACACAGGCTTCAGCACCCCATTGCCAATAGTCATATAAGGGTTCTGGAGAGTAGGTCTGTTTTTCACAAAACAACACAATCTCCAAGACCTAACATATTGCTGGCTAGATTGAGTGCTCCACAAAAATATGAGTGGGTTATTGAGTCACATGAGTTTTAGTTACAGAATATGAGGCAGCTCACATTGAAAATTATCTTCATGGGCCACTGAGTGAAGTATGAGAGGCAAACTGCTGCAGAAATAACCCATTAATGAAGCCCTAAGGTCTATGCTAACTTGGTTGCTAGCATTACGGAAACTTTCTTTTCTGACTTTCTATTCCCACTCCATTATATTGCCCAGCCTCAGTCAGATTTACATATTGCCCTGAAGGATAAGACTTCTAGAATCTCGTATCTCATAAATAACTCCACAAGTAGGAGGTAGTTAATTAGTGGGAGTATTACCTACTAGCTAAGGGTCGGTCTTTTCAGGAACAGACCTCAATAATCAACCTTGAAGTTTTGGGAGAAATCTCATGTTAACATTTTCAAATAGCTTGTTGATTTTTAAGTAATAGTGTCAGGTAAGATTGTGCCATTGAAGTACTGTCATCGATTAGGTTATTCCAAAGTGTTCACAGTTTACCTGTTTTGATTTTCTATCTCCTTAAAGATTGCATCACTGTACTTTGTCAGAGAAGAACCAGAATTTGTGATTTCTGATTCACAATACTATGTATAATTTGCTCACTTCGGGCACCTTGAAATATGTTGTAGTCTCTCAGATTCAGTGTTTACAAAATTGTTTTTAACTGACAAAATGAGCCTGACTCTTTCCTATTTATACTTATGTTCCTTCTTGACCAATGTGCAAAAACATGTTGGAAGAGCTTAGAATGGGACACAAAATTCACTTAACTCACACCCCCAATGTCCAACCTCTTCTGTTCCCTCTCCTCATCTGGTTTCTCTTTTTCTCAAGACCCTGGGAGATCAAAGATCAAATCCATCCCAGCTGGAATAGAGGCTCATTAAAGTGATTCTACCTTCAGAAATCTGTAGGCCCAGTCTTTCTGCCTGGGTTGCTGTTGTGTCAGACCAGGCTCTGTACCTCCTTACAGCAGATGCTACGGACACCAGGTATTTACATGACCAGAGAAATTTATTCACCACTATTACTCTCTAGGAAACAAGGGAGGCTCTCACAGAAGTCACCACCCTCCAGGAGCCAGACTCGTTACTGGCCAAAGCTCTGGCTGGGTGGCAAGGTGCTGGGCAGCGGGTGACTTACCTCCCAGAGATGCTGCGTATTCCTGACGGCGCCGGCCTGCACTTTCTCCGGGGGCAGGAGTACACCCTGGAAGGGCCCAATCCAGGTGCCCTGCTGGATCCTCTGTGCTGCACAAATGCCGTAGGCCAGGCCCGGCACGGTGCTGGTACACAGGCACACCTCCCGCGGCAGGTCCCGCAGCCACTCGGGCAGCTCTGGAGGGGGCGCGGCGGCTGCTGCGCTGCTTGTGCCCACGAGCCGGCGCAGTGAGTGCAGTGGCCCATGCATTGGGCACTCTCCGTTGCGGTTGTCCGCGCACATGTCACAACCTGCCGGAGACACGCAGCAGGGAGGGAAGGCAGAGGTTAACCCGGCGCTCTGGTGGCTCGTCCTTGGGTAAACCCCTGAGGATAGCATCCCCGCCCAGATAAGCCACCTGTTAGGGAAGTGACACGGTGAGGGATCCGAGGCCATTGGGAGTAGGGGAAGAGGTGAACCCGAACTACTCTCTCGTAATTCACCGCATCTAAATCCTCTTGGTATTGGGTCAGAACCCTAGGCGCCCCAAAAAGCCTCATAGCTGAGTGGGGATGGCGTCGCAGTTGTCTCCGCAAAACCAACGGCTCGCAGCTTCTCCCAGTCTCTCTCTCTCCCTCTTCCCTTCCGTCTCTAGGCCCTCTCACCCTCGCCCCAGTTCCCGAGGGTTCTCTGCTGAGTGTTTCAAAACCCGTTTATCGTTGTACTATGAAGAAAGCCCGACAAAGAAAGCCCATCATTTGATCAATCTGATATCTCGGGAGACATTCTACATTGGCCGCCTGGATATATTTGGTTGACCTCTTTTTACAGTTGTAGGAGAGACTTTAAAAATCACCAGGGCAGGTGGGTGACCCATCTGTCACGAAGCACCATTCCTATTCCTCGGGACCCACACCCCCAGCGCCGGAGAGCGCCCCAAACACCGATCACCCAGGGAGCGCTGGAGGTTCTCCTCGAATGTCCCCGCAGCGCCCACGCTAGGCACTCCAGCCAGGTGGGGGACAGGTGGGAATGGATGAGGAAAAAGGGGCTGTTCACTGGCTATGCTTGCTGCCAGCTCTTCCCAAAAAACCGAAAGGAAACGAATAGCAAATTTAACGATAATGGTGGGGAAAGGAGGGGGGGTGGTTATGGGTCTTTAATGATCAGGATAATGGTTCAATAGAGAGGGCCCCAACTCCTGCGCAGGCAGTTGATACCCAGGGCAAATGAGATCTTGTCTTACAAACTGAGCGTTGATGTAAAGCGGTCTCTTTCCGCCGTGTTCGAGAGTTACCAGCGCTCAAGGGGACCCCCACCTTCCAGTCCAGGCTGTGGACGCCCAGTGTCCCTCGACTCAAACTCGGGGTAAGAGGCCAGCCGGCCCCAGGAAGCAGGGCCTGCGGCAACCGCGCTGTCGGATCGCAGCGCCCTCCGGGTTATTAATGGGCCTGGCGGAGCCGCTGTGTCTGCGCCCAGGCTGCCGGACCTGCCTCAGGGAGACCTTCTCGGCGCCTGCCTGCACGACCCGGCCTCCTTGGCCCAGCCTCCCTGGGTAGCAGCGGTGCCCTCATGCAAAGGAGCCCTGCGGCACTGGGCGCGTTATCAAGCAAATCCCAACAGGCCGAGATGGCGAGCGCTAGGTACGCTGCATGCGCCAGTGCTGAGAGAACTGGGGGAGGAGCGTTGACCTCGGGGCCCTCCGGGCACCTGTGCCTGGCCTTGGTCCCAGCCAGTCCTGGTGGGTCACCTAGGATGTGCCGTAGTTTAGCAATTCATGCTAAAATAGATGAATTGCTCAAGGAACTTGTGATAAAGTAAGTTATTAAAGAACTTTTCCACAAAGGAACACCTAATCGCAACCCAGCAGAGTAAACGAAAGCTGGAACCTTCATTTTGCCATTTACTTCACAGAGGGTTGAGGGTCAACTTTGTGAGCATCCTATCTCAACTCCTCCCAAGAGAGCCCATGGAATGAGAAGACCTTCTGACTGCCGCTTCTTGGATGATCTTCAGACTTCTCAAGTGAAAAGCAACGACCTGTTTCTGCAGGTAGTGGACTGTCCGTGCCTCTGAACCTTTATCGTACAAAGGCCCACCCTCTTTCAGTAACACAGACTTCCAGTAAAAACTGTGCCAGGCTCTGCTTTTGACTCTAGGGCCTAGATAGAACATATTCCCAGCCTATTTGCATGTCAACCCTTCCAGAATACATACACTTCACATGCCCTTTCAAGCTTCAGACTGTGAAAATAAAAACTTTAAGACAAAGGGGAATGGAAAGAAAGACAATAAAAACTCATAATCACCAAGTTCCAATTATGTGCTAGGCACCTTTCTTGACTCAAACAATCACCATATTATCTAAGTGTCATGATTCCCATTTTGCAGATGAGGCAACTGAAGCTTCATAAGCGGTGTAACCAAGGAGCAAAAACTAGAAAGTGGTGGAGAAGGATTGTCAGGTCTGCCTGACTCCAGGGCCTCCAAACCTAGAGATCTAGGAAGATTAATGAGAGCCGGGAGAATTTTATGTACAAACTTATAACTCAATCAATAGAATTGAAATATTTCACTAAATTCACTATTTGGGAGCCAAAAAATTGCTGTAGCATGATTGAATTACAGAGATTTCTCTCTCTCTTTCTCTTTCCCATACTCTTGAATTTGGAGTTACAGTAAGAGAATAAATTGAAAAATAAATAATGTCCATAATTTTGGATTTTAGTGCCTAACCTCAGAGACGTCTTTTCAGCACCTCAGCAAAAATAGCTTAAAAACAAATGACAATAAGCAAAGGCAATATGCCCTTAAAAATAAAAATAAATCACTCCATATTTTTTCTTAACTGACTTTCTCTTTCTGATTGGCTTAATGAAACAAAAGATGAGAAGCAATAGTGTTTATTATTCACTCCCCTAACAGTTCATACCAGAAATTCTGTCAAGTTCTGACATCTCCACACCATGGAACATCACACCAACCACATTAGTAATAAAATAAGGAGCAAAGTACCAATTCCAGCCACCATTGCCACAGACAGCAAGCATATTCTCGAAATTTGTTATACATGATAACACTATAGATAGCCATTTCTCTAAGAAGTTCTCTAAAACTATCATCTTAAATTTCATTCGTCTCCACGAAGTGTTGGAAAAAAAACTTAATAGTTGCATTTTGCAGAGTGAAAAGCTGAGATTCTCGCAATATTTGGAAGACTACCTACATGTTAGTTCCACAACAAAGCAGACAAGGCCAATCCACTTTAATTAGTCCACCCAACATGAGTCTTCTTAATTTGTAAAACATTTCATGCTATATCAAAATATTCTGACAGAAAAGGTGACCAATTACATCAAAATACAAGTTATACCCTAATGTTATTTTTTAATATAAAAATCCTCTGCCACTGAAAACATTTGGCTTCTGACTTATGTCTTAGAGTCCCAAAGGAGCTTGAGGATGTTTAAAACAAGTAATTGATTACTTGGGGTTGACAAATGTGGCACAAGTAGACAAACATCCTAACAGAGTGTTTTCTAGACAGCAAGCTATAAACACCTACATGAAAAGATCTGAGAAAAAGGTGGGCTAAATGCCCAAACTATACACGTATGTACTATATGTAATACATATATTACACACAGCATTCCATGCCAAGCAATACATAATACAAGTCTATTTGTATTCATAAAAAGGAGGCAAATAAATGTTCCTCCTTTCTCTCAAACTCAGGGTATGTTTTTGTACAAATTCGTAATCATTATTCACAAAGGGTTTTCTATATCTGTGAGAAATATCATATTCTTCAAGCAAGATACTTCAAAATGCCATTTTAGCATTATGGAGTAGAAGGGACCAAGATTCCTTTTCTGTCTTGAACAGACTTGTTAATGCTCCTGTTTCTGGGTCTCTGAATAAGGGAAGGAGCTATCATTAAGTTAGAGACTTGTTCACCTACTGACTTCAGCAGGCCAGGCCAAGTGGAGTGAAGAACAGACTTTCACTCTTCATTTCATATCCTTCTGTATTGCTGAATGTTTGTGCAAGTGCATTTACTACTTTCATAACTGAAAGTGGACCTATTTTAAGGTAAAGGGGACAAAATAGGCCAGGTTTTTTTTTTTCCTGGTGTTTTAATTTGTCATGCTAGGAAAGGTATAATATAAAACATTAACAGGCTTTTTTGGTTTCTGGAGAGGCCTACAGGTGTGTGTGGGTGCAGGCAGAGTTTCGACTCATGGGAAGCACCCAGCACTGGCAGGCCGGTCCTGGGGTCCCCAAGGCCTCCCTGCGGCCTTCACCTGTCCTCTGGAAAGGGAACCAAGAAGCTACTAAAAAGCCTGCCTCCCCGCCTGGGCAGCGGTAACCGCTGGGCAATAAATTCTCCTCAACCACCACCAAGGTCGCAGCCCTCAGTCCCGCAGGTCGAGCCCTGCGGGGCCACGGCCGGCGCCCATCGATCCCCACCCGGTGACGCTGCCCCAGGAGTGCCGCCTGCTGGCAGCGTTGAGTTCACTTAGGGCACGCGCAACCAAGGCACAGGCTGCAGGGTAGAAGGGAGCTGGGCGAAGGGGCAGATGCAGGCAGAGCCAGTAGCTAGGAACCTCCCGTACCAGGGTTCAAGCCTCC